AAAAACACCTTCTCAGCACTACACAGCTGGAATTATGGAATTACACATCTGTCTTATTCCTGCATCAAGACCAAACACTTCAACTCGTTTCTGAATTAAACCTTCACAGTCAAACAAACTTCTTCCACGTGCACAAGAAAAACAGCGGTGTGTAAATTATTTTGTTATTCAGGCACAGACCCATGAAAAGACACAGGTCGTGATACATTACAGACAATAAGAGGAGCCCCCCAAACTCACACTGCACCTCAAAAAAATACATTTAACTCAAGAACCGCTTCAAAATTAGTTTTAGAAACATTTGAGGAAATTTGAAGAAAATATTTTTACATTGCAATTGAAAAAAAAGACTTCAACTTTTGCTTAAGTGTAGTAACAGCACCATCTACTGAACCTTGCAAGCAATTGGTTTTATAGCTTCTCCTCTGCTCAGATGCTGCACTTACTTCCTCCTGTAATCCGAGAGGAGAGTGCACAGTATATATATTCTGTTCTGTGTTCTCACATACTGCAAATACTTCTACAGCAAATGGCTGAAACACCACCACCTGTAATTAACAGTGTCAACTCACCTCACCTCCCACGTGTTTGGGTCACCCCTGAAGGCCCTCGAGTGGCAGAACAGAAGTCCGTGCAGGAGGCAGCGATGTCAGGGCAAGATGATTAAAATGTCAAGGAAAGCACAGGAAACAATTACTCAAAAGGTTGAGGTACACGTGAGAAAAACAGACAAGAATATCACCATTTAAACAAAATCCACTCCACTCAGAAGTACTAACCTCTACTGCACTGGTCTCCAAATCCCAGAACAGGCCATCTTACAGGTCTCCCTGAATCACCTGCTTCATTTAACTATTTCTGGGCTTTGCTCCAGCTGATTTCCTAATCATAGGCTACTTTATTTTAATTTGCAATGTGTTCACTTTTTAAAGGTTTGCTTTTAGTTCTGATAAAAGCTGGATGACACTGGTAAATGGCAGGAGTCCTGTAACCCCATGCTGGTGGGTGGGTTTCAGGTCTGCCCTCATACAGGTGTGTGAGCTGAGCTCCAGTATCACCAGCTGGACTAGAACAAACACAGACTCACTGTGGAAGGGTCTGATACAGGCCCATTCCCACCTGTGTCAGTTCGCCGTCAATAAATAACCTGTTAAGAGCCGGGGTTCGGCAGAAGTAAACAAGACAACTCTTAATTAGCCAGTGAGGAGA